ATTTCAACTCTCACGATGCTCCTTTGATGAAACTTTTGTTTGTTTGACTTTGCTCGACTGTTTGTTGATCTTTTTCGCAACTAATAAGCTAAATATTTTGATTGGGCCCGCGGCCGTAAAAACAAGAAAAAATCTCAAATAGCGAATAGAATCGCGAATTCAGCTCGCTCACAGAGACTTGATTAAAATTGGCGTTGTCTTTCCGTTTTCAGGGGTAAGTTTCTCTGATTTCGGACTCTCTCGGATGATTGGCAAATTGCTCAAATTTAAGACCCCAGTCAAGGCTATATTTATTCTCGTTTTGTTTTCCGCTGATAAGGCTTGGCGTTTCTATTTCTACACTACTGGTGGTGCCAAGTAAATTAAAAAAAACCTATTGGCTAACCGGAATTTCGACCACTTCCGCTGGATAAGTCGGGTTCCATTGAGTTCGAGCACCGAAACCGAAGACACCACTCTCTGCACCAAACACTTGACTCGATTAGCCAAATTCCACAGACTCACAAAAAAAGCTAGACAGCTTCATAATAAATAAGCTTAAATGCGAACAACCTGCTGGCAATTGTTTATGGGCCAGGTCCGAAAACTCGAAAGCCTGGCCAAAACAAAGACCAAATCTTTGGGGAGTGGGTTGGTATCGTCGTTATATTGGTGGTAGAGCGAAAGAGAGGAACCTCTCTTTGGCCGAGAAATTTCACTTGGCAGAAAGGAAGGCAAGATCAGGTTTCAAGGTTGCCAGCGATCGCTCGCGATTTCTTCTTCTCGCCCCCAAAATCCGAGATAATGGCACCCAGGTGGGACCGATTCGCTCTGGCATCGAAGCACAATGGAACCCAAATACCATAACCCTCAATGCGAAAAATTAAGTTTTTTTGAAGTTTTGGCACAACGTAAATGTTGCAAACCCAAATTCTACCTGATCTGTCAATTATTTTTGACTTTTATCCGATGCTTTAAAGCTATCATATCACTCAAATCATTAAAAACATTACCCTTGAAATGTCTCAGATTTAATAATAAAATACTTTTTGTAGTCCAACAATAAAATATATCTACAACTTCAAAACAGAACTAATAATATTTATATTTTTGTGTAAGTTAGGAAGCTTTAAGACTTAAAAATATTATACATTGTATTTTTTAGTCGTAATCATATTGATACCATCAAATTTCGCAATAAAAATTGTAAATTCCATGCCGAAAGAGTTACGTACATTTATGAGGCACAAATTAACGATCTTGCACTTTGAACTTTAACTGGGAGCCGAGCTCAGTAATCGCTTAGCCACATAGTAACGACTAAAATTCCACCAAGCCCCAAAGTTCCCAAGAAAATAAATAATTTCCCTCTGGAGCTTTTTGTGTGGGCATATTTCCTGCGTTATTTATTGTTGTGCGAGGGACGGACCCTGGGTGATAAGCATTTTGGTCTGAGCAGATTGTTTTTTTTTGGCCAACACAGTCAACAGACTCCGACTTACAAAGTCTAAAAAAAAAAAATAAAAAAGAAAGCAAACCGCGAGTGCGAGTACAAAATACAAGACAAGAGGAAAACCAGTTCCTGAGCAAGTTTACTTTTAGTTGTTGTTACTGGCTTATAGCCTTGAATGTGCATTTTACGTTGTTGCTTGTTTTCAGTTTTTGGTTTTTGGCGCGCGCTCAGGAAAACATTAAAACTGGTTGAAGCCAGAGTTGGCCAAGTTTTCCCAAACCTCCCCAAAAAAAAAAGGAAAAAAGTAACCGCACAATTGATAGACAAGTGAAATGAGCAGCCAAAGAGAGCGAGAAATTCTCCAGTCTATAGCGGTATTATTTTGCACACGACTTACGGTTATTTTCTAATTACTTACCAAGTAATTTGCATACACCGAAAAAAATATGGAGATTTCGTAACCAAGTCGCAAGTTGGTTTGAACTACCCTTTTAAGTTACCCAACCATCTTGACTTGTTAGTCATTTCTTAGAATGTTATAACAAAAGTAAGACATACAATAAGACTATCAGTGTTATTAGTTCAACTAATAACTACTATAAGCTGTAGAACTACTGCATTCCCCAAGCTTCAATATCTTATCGTAAGACTATAGTCTAGTTTGTATACAAATACCTAAAATAAAACTTATGGTTTTATTACCATCCATGTTATATTTTTTCCCTTCGTTATTTTTTTGCTCTGAAAGATCTGAAATGCACTTTGATCTTTAAAATACTTCATCACAATCTGTCATTAATTAGTTAATGATGGGTTCCCATCCCTTTGGAACGTAAAGGATTATCATAAAACACATCATTCACACCGATCGTGTCATATGGAATGTGTTGCCAAAGGGGTTCTCTACTTCTTATCAATTTGGCAAGTGACAAAAGTTATTTTTTTAATGTTTTTCGAATAGATTATTTACAATCAATGATGTTGGACTTGCACCCAGAGATAAGCGCAAATGGGTTAAATAATATTGAATGCATGTATTTGACATTGTCAACTGAAACAGATCGGTGGAAGGCAGTTCCTCTGAAGAGCCGAGTTCAGCAAGTCAATTGCCATTAACTGCAGCGGCCTTTCATTTAATTAAAGGGTAATTACAACTCCCCCAGTCGCTTGCACTCGAACAATTGTTTTATCTTTATGATTCAGTCCCTTTGATTTCGTTCCCACTCGAAAATGAGCAAAGTTCAAAATACAGTTTGGATTGCCTAATGCAATGATGATATATAAATACTTCTAAATGCCTCTTTTGCAATAGTTTGATTTTGTTTTATAAACAATATATCTATAGTTACGTACGAGTTATATACAATTCAACAACAAAAGTTATGCATAAGAAAGTTCAATTTAAAGAAATTTGACTGTACACGGCATATAACTGCTGACATAGCGATAAGACTCCATTTCGTGAAACCACAAAAGTTCGTTCTAAATTCGCTTTATGGCCTTTGATTGATGGGCAGGCGGTGTGTTCCGAAATAAAGCTGTGATTGATTGACTCTTTGGCTGATTTTGAATCGGATTATGCATAGTTTTATGCCGGTCAAAAAAGGAAAGGGAACTTGAAATGGAAACAAATGAGAAGTACAAGTACAGCGCACCAATTGCGCAAAATGCCAAAGAACGTCGCTTGAAAAAACTCCAATAAAAGTGCAACAACACCGCCCAGCTGCAGTGCAGACATCTAATTGGAAAAAACAACAACAAAATGCAAAGATATAAACAAGTCCATGTGCATTTTGGTTGTTTGTGTTGGTGTTTTCAAAGGGGGAATGTAAAAAGAATTCAAAAATGGACCAACTGGGTCTCCAATAGGAATTGTATATCGCGTGTAGTTTGAAGGCAACTGCTGCCTATTGCTGTTGTTGCACTTTTCCTGCAGAGATCCCGGCATCTGTTTACACATTTCGACACTTGGGGTTAAATAAATAGAATCCCTGTTCATTTTATTATTTTTAAAATATGTGGCAAAATATCAATGCTAAAAATTTCAAAATAGATTTGCTGACAAGAAAAAAAGTACTATAATATATAATCCTAAACATTGTAGCATTGACAAAATAATATTTAATTTTATTAATATTAATTAATTGTGATTTAATATCCATTGAAAAAATGTAAAATAATATTCGTTCATTTCATTTCCTTTTAATTGAAGACTAAATGTAACCAAGATGTATTAATATAACACCACCATGTTTACAACCAATAAACAATTTAATCATTATAAAACCGTATTTGTCATTATCCAATACCATTTAATAGGATCATTTGAAATATTAGAGCACATTTATTATGGTTATTAGTGTGATTATCGAGATGGCCCCAACTGTATGGAAATGGGCTGCTGCCTTGGGGGCGGGGTCGTTGGCATTGCCCCTTCTCCTCTGCGGATCTCTTTTGCCACTCTCTTCTCCTTTCTCCCGGCACGAAGACTTGGCCTTGTTGATAGTCGTTGGCCTCTTGGCTGACCCGTTAAATGTAATTGAATTTAAACGGCAATTGTCTTGCGAATGCATTTATTGCCATTGCACTTTGCAAATCACGGTGCACCAACAGTGGCTCTCAAACTTTCAAGCTTAACGGTGCCACAGAATTGTTGTAATGAGCGAGCGAGATGGTGAAACGTCAGATCGAGACAGCAACTGCCCGGTCGGAATGCGGTTTAAAAATAAACCAAGCCCAAAGCGAGACAGCAAGACTGGAGAGAAGATTGGGGGGCGGGGGGGTTCCAAAACGTGCTTTGGCTTAGACCCTATTTAGCCTAGTTTACGACTGGCCAACACACACAGCCCAGAAAAAAAGAGAGCCTGGTTTAGAGACAGACACCTGTGCCCCAAGAGAGCGGGCGGGGCGAAAAGGGGGAGGGCATCCCCATACCCATACCCTCGTTATGCTAATTCACAACAGAACTACGGGCTAGACTCTATAAGGTGAACTATTTTTTTTAAAACTCTTTAAAGATAAATTATTTAAAATTAAAGGATACAGTGATAATAGTAAATTTGAGCTCAATACAAATAGATTTCCCACAATTTTCCAAAATTTTACATTATATTTATTTTAAAAGGCATTTAACAAATTATAATTTAATATTTATCTTGGACTTCTTGTATGATTTTTGTCATAATTGTAGCTAATCTTTTTTTTTGGATTTGGAAGAATTTATATATTTTGATAAAAATTCTTAATCTAGGCCACCGAAGCAAGTTCCTCTTAGCCAGACTAGACTGTCTGATGGTATATGACAGCTTGGCAATTTTTACGACCTGTTCGCACGCAACTTGACCACAATGGATTGGTAGTAAGAGGATGGAAGATCGTCAGATCGGGAATGCCCTTTACCGTTTACAGTTTGGGAGCCCTAGTCATATTATGCAACGCCCAGCCGGGTTTATTGGCTTATAAAGTGGAGCATCGGACCGTAAAACATCCCATATTTTTTTTAACGATCTTCTCTCCACAAACTTGATTCTATTCCGGTTTTGTTTTTATTCTTTTTTTTTTTGCTTACCTTTGACAGCCTCGTAGTATCCCAAATCCAGCGTGAATGATTTACGTTAGTATCCTGGCGCACAAAAAAACCAAGTATATTTTCCAGTTTTTTGGATGCCTCCTGCTTCTTCTTCTTCTTCTTGTTTAGCTGCTGCAATTAACATAAATTCCCGTATTTATTTGTTTTTCGCCGACTGTTTTCACTACGATCTTTCTCCTCCTTTCGCCTCTCTTCCCACTTTTCTTATTCACACACACATGTACACAGTTGAAAATCGAAAGATGCAGACGAAGATGGTTATAAAAAATAAGAGAACGCGAACAGGAGGAGGAGGAGCAATCGAGGAGGATGGGGAGGGAGCGGAGGAGAAAAACCGGAAAGTTGTTTTTGTTGTTCGACCATAAGCGGCGTTCTTTTAGTTACAAAAACAAGCCGAAAAAGTGCTATAACCAAAGAAATCTTAACGTTTTTCAGCTTTTTCGGGGGACTCTGCTTTAATTTATGCCAAAGAATTTTTGTCACTTGTTGCTGCTTTTCGACCTTAATAACAAATTCCAATGCACACCAGTTGCTTTCGCACGCGAAAACCAGCTTAGTGGGTTTTTTCTCCTTTTTTTCGGGGCAGTAATTAGAAATAGCCGCGTTTTAAGCACCGGCGCAACAACAACCACAATGGAATTTTCTAATTAGCACAAAAACTACAACAAGAACAACAGCACTAAGAGCGGCTTAAGAGAGCGAGGGAATGCGATGGAGAGAGGGAATTGAAACGCTGATTACGTTTTGCTAAACGGCTCGCGCTTGTTGTTTCTTTTTTTGCACGGCGGCTTGTATTTTTTTGAGTTGCTAGCGGTTTTGGCTCCAACTTTCGTCCGCGCGCACGTCTTGTCAAATCGCCGATCGGTTGAGGTTTGAAGGGGCTTGAAGGTTTAACGTAAGGAAACGTAAGAGTCGGCAAATGTCATCGATGTTTTCAAATCATCGCTCGCGCTCAGTATTTTTTCAGTATTTTTTTGTTCGACGTAAGCAAACTATCGGTGCCACTTTCGATATCTTATCAGCGACGCTCTCTGACAGTGTTGCCAACCCTTTGGGTCAAATAAAAAGCTAAACAGCAATGGAAAATAGCTAGAAGTAGCCGGAAATCTTTTTCGTTAATTAGGGAAAAACGAATTTGGTACTAAAATGTTTAAGCTATTTGTTTTTTTCTAAAGCACAAAAAAAATGTTACTGAAATGTATGATAAATATTTTGTTCATTTTGCGCATTATTTCCGATCAGTGCTCTTTAGGAAATATCAAGATTACATTTTAATAAAATAGCGATATAACGCATAGAAATATCACGATATATATATATATATTTATTTTTATTCAAAATAGGTCGACAAATTGATATTTTCACATCCCTAGTCTTGTCCAAAACTTGATGAGCGGACCAGACCTTACTTTAATTTCAACTGCTACTCAATACTCAAAAACTGCATTTCTAAATTCCATAACATGAGTTATATTAACCCGATTTCAAAGTGGGATACCTCTATGAGTTTGTGGTTGAATTCTCTAACACTCTGCATTCAAAGTTTCCTTTTTAAAGAGGGTCGAAATTTTAGCCCATTTTCATGTACGATTTATTCGTATTTTCAATGGTTTTCAGAATGGGAACCAAAAGCTGCACTTTTAAATTCCATAACTTGAGTTATAATAACCCGATTTCAAAGTGGGATACCTCTATGAGTTTGTGGTTGAATTCTCTAACACTCTGCATTCAAATTTTTCTTTTAAAAGAGGGTCGAAATTTTAGCACATTTTCATGTTCGATTTATTCGTATTTTCAATGGTTTTCAGAATGGGAACCAAAAACTGCACTTCTAAATTCCATAGTTTGAGTTATATTAGCCCGATTTCAAAGTGGGATACCTCTATGAGTTTGTGGTTGAATTCTCTAACACTCTGCATTCAAAGTTTTCTTTTAAAAGAGGGTCGAAATTTTAGCACATTTTCATGTTCGATTTATTCGTATTTTCAATGGTTTTCAGAATGGGAACCAAAAACTGCACTTCTAAATTCCATAACTTGAGTTATATTAACCCGATTTCAAAGTGGGATACCTCTATGAGTTTGTGGTTGAATTCTCTAACACTCTGCATTTAAAGTTTCCTTTTTAAAGAGGGTCGAAATTTTAGCCCATTTTCATGTTCGATTTATTCGTATTTTCAATGGTTTTCAGAATGGGAACCAAAAACTGCACTTCTAAATTCCATAACTTGAGTTATATTAACCCGATTTCAAAGTGGGATACCTCTATGAGTTTGTGGTTGAATTCTCTAACACTCTGCATTCAAAGTTTCCTTTTTAAAGAGGGTCGAAATTTTAGGCCATTTTCATGTTCGATTTATTCGTATTTTCAATGGTTTTCAGAATGGGAACCAAAAACTGCACTTCTAAATTCCATAGTTTGAGTTATATTAACCCGATTTCAAAGTGGGATACCTCTATGAGTTTGTGGTTGAATTCTCTAACACTCTGCATTCAAAGTTTCCTTTTTAAAGAGGGTCGAAATTTTAGCCCATTTTCATATTCGATTTATTCGTATTTTCAATGGTTTTTAGAATGGGAACCAAAAACTGCACTTCTAAATTCCATAACATGAGTTATATTAACCCGATTTCAAAGTGGGATACCTCTATGAGTTTGTGGTTGAATTCTCTAACACTCTGCATTCAAAGTTTCCTTTTTAAAGAGGGTCGAAATTTTAGCCCATTTTCATGCACGATTTATTCGTATTTTCAATGGTTTTCAGAATGGGAACCAAAAGCTGCACTTTTAAATTCCATAACTTGAGTTATAATAACCCGATTTCAAAGTGGGATACCTCTATGAGTTTGTGGTTGAATTCTCTAACACACTGCATTCAAAGTTTTCTTTTAAAAGAGGGTCGAAATTTTAGCCCATTTTCATGTTCGATTTATTCGTATTTTCAATGGTTTTCAGAATGGGAACCAAAAACTGCACTTCTAAATTCCATAACTTGAGTTATATTAACCCGATTTCAAAGTGGGATACCTCTATGAGTTTGTGGTTGAATTCTCTAACACTCTGCATTCAAAGTTTTCTTTTAAAAGAGGGTCGAAATTTTAGCCCATTTTCATGTTCGATTTATTCGTATTTTCAATGGTTTTCAGAATGGGAACCAAAAACTGCACTTCTAAATTCCATAACTTGAGTTATATTAACCCGATTTCAAAGTGGGATACCTCTATGAGTTTGTGGTTGAATTCTCTAACACTCTGCATTCAAAGTTTTCTTTTAAAAGAGGGTCGAAATTTTAGCACATTTTCATGTTCGATTTATTCGTATTTTCAATGGTTTTCAGAATGGGAACCAAAAACTGCACTTCTAAATTCCATAACTTGAGTTATATTAACCCGATTTCAAAGTGGGATACCTCTATGAGTTTGTGGTTGAATTCTCTAACACTCTGCATTCAAAGTTTTCTTTTAAAAGAGGGTCGAAATTTTAGCCCATTTTCATGCACGATTTATTCGTATTTTCAATGGTTTTCAGAATGGGAACCAAAAGCTGCACTTTTAAATTCCATAACTTGAGTTATAATAACCCGATTTCAAAGTGGGATACCTCTATGAGTTTGTGGTTGAATTCTCTAACACTCTGCATTCAAAGTTTTCTTTTTAAGGAGGGTCGAAGTTTTAGCTCATTTTCATGTTCGAATTTCCAGTATTTTAAATGGCATTCACTGTGTCACAGTGAATCCAAAAATCTGCACTTCTACATTCCATAATTTGAGTTATAGCTACTCTATTTTAAAGCGGGCTACCTCTATGAATTTTTGGTTGAATTCTCTAACAATATGCATTCATATATTCCTATTCAAAGACAGTCCAAATTCCAGCCCATTTTCGTGTTCGAGTTTCCATTATTTTTACTGGCTTTCAGAATAAGAACCCAAAATCTGCACTTCTAGATTGCATAACTTAAGTTCTATCAACTCGATTTTAAAGTGGGATGCCTCTAAGAATTTGTGGTTGAATTCTTTAACAATCTTCATTAAAATTTTCCTTTTTAAAGAGGGTCACAATTTTAGCCCATTTTCATGTTCGAATTTCCAGTATTTTTAACGGCTTTCAGAATGGATACCAAAAGTCTGCACTTCTAGATTCCATAACGTGAGTTAAAGCAACTCGATTTTGAAGCGGGATACCTCTATGAATTTATGGTTGAATTTTCTAACTTTCTACATTCAAATATTCTTTGTCAAAGAGGGTCAACATTTTAGACCATTTTCATGTTCAAATTTCCAGTATTTTTAATGGCTTTCAGAATGGGAACCAAAAATCTGCACTTCTACATTCCATAACTTGAGTTATTGCTTCTCGATTTTGAAGCGGGATACCTCTATGAATTTGTGGTTGAATTCTCCAACATTCTACATTAAAGTATTCTTTTTCAAAGAGGGTCAAAATTTTAGACCATTTTCATGTTCGAATTTCCAGTATTTTTAACGGCTTTCAGAATGGGAACCAAAAATCTGCACTTCTACATTCCATAACTTGAGTTATAGCTACTCGATTTTGAAGCGAAATACCTCTATAAATTTGTGGTTGAATTCTCTAATATTCTACATTCAAATGTTCTTTGTCAAAGAGGGTCAAAATTTTAGCCCATTTTCATGTTCAAATTTTCAGTATTTTTATTGGCTTTCAGAATGGGAACCAAAAATCTGCACTTCTACATTCCATAACTTGAGTTATAGCTACTCGATTTTGAAGCGGGATACCTCTATGAATTTGTGGTTGAATTCTCTAATATTCTACATTCAAATATTCTTTTTCAAAGATGTTCAAAATTTTAGACCATTTTTTAACTTGTAATTTTAAGGCCCCCAAAAAATGTTTACTCTCGAAAAATATAAAAATTGTATTTTTAAACAGAAAGGGGCTGATCCGTATAATTTTGCAGAAGAATCATCTTCCATGAAAGACAGCAACAGACGGCAAATTCATTGCTTAAAATCGCATATACAATTCATTCGATTGTCTTGTAAATGTATTGTACTATTCGGATCGTATTGTTAAGTGCGTTTTATTGAAAATACTCAATTAACTTCACCACTACGAAGGTCGGCGCTGGCAGCGAAGTCGACTTGCCCAGTACTATATAAGATCATACAAAGTCTGTTAAACACAAATTCGATACGAATCTGATTCTGTTGATATCATCATTACCACATTCTTAAAACAACTAAAAATGATGCAAATCAAGTTCCTGTTCACTTTAGTCGCTGTCCTGATGCTGGTTGTCCTGGGAGGCAAAGAGGCCGATGCTGTCGACTGTCTTTCCGGAAGATATAGAGGTCCTTGCGCCGTCTGGGATAATGAGACTTGCAGGCGAATTTGCCGGGAAGAAAGACGAGTTAGCGGGCATTGCAGTGCCAGACTGCAGTGCTGGTGCGAAGGATGCTGAGCTAGAATTTTAATATGTATTTCTTCATTAAAAAGAATAACAAATAAATAATAAAAGTTTTTACAAACAAAACTTTAACTGACTTATTATTTTGATCTCTATTTTTTAAAAAAATCTATATACTTTTAGTAGATTTAATTAAAATTAGACTCGTTGAGGTTTATTCTCAAATCTTTTAAATAGTATATTGTACACATGATTCCATTCATGAAACAAGCATTGGACAATTAATGATTAGCTAGTATTGAAAACGAACAAAATTACAATATATTGTTAGATCTGTTCAAAAGTAATAATATATTTATACTCGTAGACAAAAAATTACAATTGTATTAATTTAGCTCTAAAATCTGTTGTCTGGAAATCAAGGCTTTATTTAGCTATCCTGATGCTGATAGTCCTGGGAGCCAAACAAGGAGGAATCTGTGCTATTGGGACAATGAGGTGGACCCAGTGGACATTGCAGGGCCAGATTGCAGTGCTAATGCGAAGGATGCTGAATATTTAAATACATATATCCTTACTAAAAAACGTACAATTACCACGAATTCGTCTAGAAATAAGTTAATAAGCAAAAATCAATCCGAAAAACAAGTATTTAAATCGAGTTCTATATTTTCACTACTATTTAGATTAAAAGAACATTTGTATTACAGTTTATAGGAAAAATGTATTGTTTTATTCGTTTGATGCTGGTATTGTATTAACAAAGACCAAAGGTCTTTTATACCCGGATAGGTTCATCTTCTTAATTTTATTGTTTTAATTTTCAGCACAATGTCGGTTCCGCCCCTATATAAAATCTTTTGCGGGCTGCTGGATCGTTACAGATATCAGTACGCTCAAAACGTAAAGTTATCCGAAAATCCTACTAAAAATGATGCAAATCAAGATCCTTTATACCGTATTCGCTGTCCTGATGCTGATCGTTCTGGTGGCCAATAACTGCGATGCCGACTGCCTTTCCGGAAAATATAGGGGCTCCTGTCTCGCATGGAACAAGAAAAAGTGTAGAGACACTTGCACACGGGAAGGACGAACCGGAGGACACTGCAGCCCCAGTCTAAAATGTTGGTGCGAAGGATGCTAATTTGGATACCAACAACAAGATAAATTAAAATATTCCACTATTTCATCCGCAATATATTTAAATAAATATTTAAAAACGAGAATATACATTTTTTTCTTTGCTTTCTGTAGTAATTTTAGATTGTTTCAGGTCATTTATTTAATGTACTTTAACTTATTTTCCTTAGCTTTCTCTTTACTAGTAACATTTGTATTTTTTTTCTTTCCTACACGCTTAACTGGGTTTCAATGAGTTGAGTTAATCTCATTTTGGGATACTAAGAGTCTATTTATATTTTACTGAATGCTTGTTTACAGATTATACACAATAAAAGATTTAAGTGTTAACAATTGAAGGGAAGTTAATAACAATGTGCATATGGTTTGATCAGCAGTTAAGATTAATCAGCAGTTGCAGCTGCTGTGGGGAGAAAACATCAAAAGTAAACATCACGACCTGTTTTTAAACTGATATATCTTTAGTAATAAGCAAAAAGTTTCCATCTGCTTTAGAATTTATAGAAATAATAATTTTTAATAAATTACATTTTGATAAAAGGGATGTAGATAAGCCACTTTAATATGTTGTATATGTATTAGTAAGTGTATATCTTTAACTCTATTTGAATTTCGCGCCATTTTTTTGGCGTTGCCAGAATATTCCGCCTTTGTGTGCAGTTCTTTTTACCCAACGGTAGTCTCTGGCCACACTTGCAGGACCTAATAAAAGCAAAACAATAACATGCCGAAATATATTGTTTTTGTGGGGTTTTTCTTAACCCTAAGCTGCCAGTTTAACCTGTTGCTGGCCGTGAAGAACAAAACCTGCGAGAAACTGCTGGGGGAATTGGGCGATGGCCAGAGCAAGTTCATCTACTGCGCCACCACGAAGTCGGTGCCCGTGAATCTCTGTCTTGGATGCGAGGAGCTCTACCGGGATCTCAGCAAGGAATACGAGAACCTCATAGCGGATGTAAACTGCTCCAAGCGGTACCTCAACTCGGACAGGATCAACATAGTGGCCACCACCCAGGGAATCCTGACCAGCCTCTGGCAAAAGGCGCACTGCGAAAGTGGGTATCTGTACTGTTCTATGTACTCACACTAGTGAATCACTCCCTTTGTCTACTTTTCAGATTGTTTTAGGGATAAATATTGGGCCCAATACGAAAACAGGTCCATCGATTTGCAGGAATGTTTGGAAACCAGCAGTCCGGATGTGACTTGTGTGCAGTGCAAACCCTTCTACCTTGCCTTAAACGATTTGTATGTTAAGATGGAGTCGAAAGTCAGTGGAAATGTGTGCTTCGATCTGCAGGATAATGTAAGTTCAACTTAGAAAGCAATAATTCAATCGGAAAAGTTAGATTTTTTATCCAAAACTGAACTATGTTTAAATCTATTCTAAGATTTATACATTTTTTGGGTGTTTTAAAAAAGACTTAATATCTGTTCTCAAATCATTTTTGAAAATTATGACTGTAAATTATTCTTATTATGAATCACAATTGTGTGCGAATCACTTACAGTTGAAAATCGTGAACAAACTGTCTAATATTTACCACATTCATATTTATCTCATATTGATCTCTATTTGGTTTCACTGTAAACATTTTTTAGATGAATCGCACTCGCCTGAACTGGTCCAAAACCCTGAACTGTTGTCAACGCGAGGTGAGGCTGACTAACTTCCTGATTGCCGTGGGCGTGGTTGTGCTCCTGCCCATTCTAACCTTCTATATCACGGCAATTGTGGTGACCAAGCGGCGAGAAGCCAACCATGGCTTGCTCAATGATCAAGGTAAACTAAAAGGCCATTGCTTAAATACTATATTTTAATGAGAACCTTTTTTAGAACCCGAGCTGGACGCTCCTTCTACATCGAGGCTTATCACGGCAGCAGTGCTGTCCACTCCAGTCGAAGATCCCGCTGTGATCTCAGCTCAAATAGAAAAAATAGCCAATGTTTTGAGCCATCCCGAGGCAAATCAATCGGACGATTCCGAACAGGAAGTACCCAGCGTAAAGCAGCATATAATAAATCGAGCTGGTCCTGTTTCCGACTACTCCAGTGAGGAAGAGCCGACCAAGGTACCAAAAGTCTTGTTAAGTCCAGAGTCTGACTACTCCAGTGATGATGAGCCCCTTACAAAGCCCAAACGAGCGTAGAGTACAGAGTTCAATGAGGGGAATACCCGAATTCTATGCCAGAACGCATATCTTGAAATTGTAAGGTAGGGGCATGACATCATTAAGACCTGACTATCAACACTAAGATTATAAGATCTTTAAAGCGTTATCAAAATATTATTTTCCGATCTTGGCCTTTATTAAAGCCAGTTACTACTACATTTTAGGGAACACCTTCTCCAGCTTGTGCCTAACCAAATATAAGGTATTTTAATGAATAGCCAAGTACATACATATGTGATACATCACAATAAAAGCGTAACATTTGTATATTTATAATAACTATTGTTTTAGACTTTGATATGCCAATTCCCCATTTTAAATTCCTTCCCGATAATATCAACAACACATTCTTTTTCAGCATTTTGTATGCACTTTATTGATGGCAAGTAAAACTGCACTTAAGCCTAGGCGTTTAAATCGAATTAATGCGAAAGAAGATCAGGGTCATCATGGAAAGGGCCCTTCCACCGGTTTTGGGTTCTAGCTTAGCAGCTAACCTAATACTAAGATAACAATTAACAAAGGAAATGCATTAGCCGGGTTCGTGCGTAGATCGACTTCGGAAGTTCCTCTAATCCCACCTTATCCATAGGGCGTGAATAGGTTGCCATGGGTGGACGAAGTCTGGTAGTGGACCAAACTCCCGTGGGTCTGCGGCGCAGGCTGGTAGTAGGCCTGGTGATAGTGAGAAGGAGGAGCCGGCTCGTTCACCTGGATCTGGTGGTAGTTGGTGAAGGGCTCATGCTCGACGACCTCGCGCACCGTTTGGAACGGATGGTTGACGACAATGCGGCGCTTGTGGAAGGTCTCACTGGTGGCCGAGGCATCGGTGGGCGCAGCCGTGGCCGCGATGACCCGCTCATTGGGCTTCAGATGTCCAGCGGCTCCATTGAGTGACACATCCACATCGGGCTGAGCCTTCGCCTGCGACGGAGTGGCCTGAGTGGCGGACACCTCGGAATTGGTGGGTGCCTCCACCAATCGCTGGGACTTCTGCTCTCTAAGCTCAGATCTCTGCTGCCCCCTATCGCAATCCGGAGCAACTGTGGTGGCCATCACTGTCGATTTCTCCTGGTCATTGGCTATTTGGATCTGGATGTGGGTGTTGTGCTGCTCCTTCTTGGGCTCCTCCTCCATTTTGGGTGCCTCTACCAGCCTGGAAGACTTACTCTCCGTATTGTACCTCATTTGGGGTGACTGAACGAGCCTGGAGGATTGGCTATCCGGGCTGAATCTCATCTGGGAATACGGTGCACTGTAGTCCAGCTCCTCGGCAACCCGCTGTCTGGATGGCTGATTGTAGTAGGTCCTAGGAGTCTGGGACTTGGTGTACACCACCGTGGGTCCCACATGTTTCCTGAGGTAGGGCTTAATCTCGGTCACCTGGGCTGGAACCTCTTGGATCCTCCTCTCCTTGAGAGGCGTCTGACGGTTGTGACCCAAATAAATGTTGTGTTGCGAGGGCGGCAGATGAATCTTGTGTTCGTGCTTGATGATCTGCGTGGGTCGCTCCTCCTCCTCGGCCAGTTCCAGTCGAGCTGGCTTGGCCTCCACACTGCCGGCATTCACATTGGGCAGATACTCCCCGGAGAAGTAGTCATCGTCGTCGTTGTACGGCTGGCGATTAAAGTTGTTCCTCTGCGGCTGCTGCTGCTGCTGCTGATAGACCCTCTGACCAGATCGGGAGTAATCCTGCTCAGGCTCCGCCCGCTGGATCATGTTGGGTGCGAGGTGTTTGGCGTTGATCTTGATGGCATTGCCATTGGGATCCACTCCGGTCACGAAGGAGGGACTGCTCTTTCCGCCATCGGTGACATCTCCCAGTGGCTGCTGCTGTTGCAATCGGGCCTCCACGAAGTCATCCTTGGGTGACTGATCGTAGGAGGGCATTGTGGTCACACTGGAGCCAATGGTGGTGGTCTGCTGATCCTTGGCAGCTGGAGCTGCATCATACGATGGCCTGTACTCCGGAACGTTCTGGTTATATGTCTGGGTTTGGATGTGTCCATTGTTGCTGTTGCTATAGGCGGAAGCCACCGCGGGATGAGGATGACCCAGGGGCAGGAGGGTCTCTCCCTTGGGAATCTTGGCCACCGGGTGCTCCAGTTCAACGACCAAAGTTCCCGCCGGTTTGATCACCACCCGCTCTTCGATGTCATAGAATTCCTTCTGGATAGCCGGATGACGGACCTCGTACTTCTTGGCCTTCAGCGCTGGCTGCACAATTTGGATGGTTTTGGTGACCAGGGGACGTTGTGGAGGAGAGTAGCCCCTCGAGGGAGCTGGAGGTAGGTAGCCCGAACCTCCTTGATAGCCCGACTGATCGGCATAGTCCTCGTAACCCTGGCCATCGTCCACCTCTGGTGGATACTGATCCTGGTAGTCCACCTCCTGGGCATCCTCGTAGCTGAAGCCATTGGGATCGTAGCTTGGGCGATTGTAACTGGTGGCTGGGTTAAAACCCGACGAGGAATCATAGCCAGAAGAGGGATCCGATGGCAGAGGAGGATTAGCTGGAGCAGGAGCACCGGCGGAAGAGGATGAGGAGGAGGAACTGGCACCTCCCGAGGACGACGACGACGAACTGGAGCTCACTGCCGGCGCAATGTTGGCCGTTTGGATGGACCCCTGAGATGGCTCGTAGATGGGTTTGCTGTCCTGGGCCACCTCCACATTGGCACTTTGGCTCTGTTGGGAGACGGGAGCAGCCACCTGGCGCTCGAGCATGCGCAGCTGCTGGGATCGACGACCTCCTCCAATCATAACCAACTTCTGGGGGGCAGCATCTTCCATGGAGGAAGAGGAGCTCACGCCGGAGCTGGTTTGCGTGTAGCGCTGCGGGGCGGGATTCGATGACTCGTAGACCTGGAAGTCCATTAGTTGGGTGATTCATTTTTTATTTAATAAGTTAAATATATATTTAATTTTCTTGAAGAAGGTACTATATTTTTATCATACCATTTTTTTATAATATCCCTATGATAATCATTTAGGATCAGTACTACTTTCAAAGTCTGACTTGTAGAAAGAAATCTATTAAAAAGTGTTCACTTCTTTAAAAATATACAGTCATAAAAAAAAATCTTTAAATAAAATGTATAGAGTTATAATCTGTAGAGGGATGTAGAATATCTTAGCTAATTTTGTTTTTAGTATTTCAGTTTGTAAGGAAATTCACTATATTTCATGTTTAAAAGATCTTAAACAAATTTTACTTTAAAAACCAATCTAAAAACTCATGTTAAAAAGAGTTAATTCCAAAAATTCTGATTTTCCATAGTTTCTAAAATCTTTATAAATAAGATCTAGAGTTTTTTCTATCACTCACCGTTTCCACAGTGGGTCCGTGGCTGTGGTAGGACTGGATATACCGCTCGAACTCCTGGTTCTGGCGGAGCTGCTGGTTGCGCTGTCGGAACTGGCCGCTATGAGGACTCGGTGGCTGCTGGTGGAGGGAGGGGCGTCTGCTCTGGTTTCGTCGACGGGGAATTCGTCCGTTCTTGAACATGGGTGTCTGACCCTGAGCCGGAGGCTGTAATCCCAATCCTTGGCGGGGGGACAGCTGCTGAGGTGCTTGTTGTTGCTGCTGCTGGGTTTGGACCATCTGTTGCTGCTGCTGCTGCTGCTGCTGCTGCTGGGATTGGGATTGGGTCTGAACCTGCTGCTGTCGCTCCTGGATGCGCTGAAATTGCTTGTCCTCATCCCTCTGAGGTCCTGCCCTTAGTTCCGCTGGAGCATGACCCTCTACGTACTTGACATCCGCCGGATTCGTGGCCGGTTGCTGGGCAATCGAGATGTTCACATGGGTGGCCGCATCCACTTGGCACCAGGCCACCGCCAGCAGGAGCACCAACAGTCCTCGATACATCCTGTCCTGATCCTGTGCAAATGGCTATCCAAAATCCAAGTCCTATTCGGGAGTCCAATCACTGCTGACCACCACCAAAGCTGACCGCTGTCTGATCGATCAATGGAGTGTGCTCCGCATATTTATACGGATTTCGGGTGGAATTGGAATTGGGGGAGCGATCGCAATCGCGATCAGTGTCAAAGTCAACTGCAGCATTGGGAATAGCAATATCTAGCTACAATAGCTTCGATAGCTTCGATACTGACCTGGGCCAAACTGTTTAGGGATGAGTCTCAGATGCTTAACCCAGTTCTACAATTAAAGGCATTCGACCTGGCGATGGAGCGATCGCATTTGATCGATGATGCATTCAACAAATTGCTGTCATCGTTTCACACTTGGTGGCACGCACCAACACTGAGAGAAAAACCATCCTGATATCGTAGCAAAGTTATAGCTAAATATCCTTAAAATTATATAAACTAGATATAATTGAATTCAATTTTAATAGGATGAAACTTTAATAATTTTCTTAATATAAACAACAACAAATAAATAAAAATACAAACTTTAAATGGAATACTATACTATACTATACTACTATACTATAAATCCTACTACTATCAAAAATGGTTTCAGAATCATCCTTATTTATTATTTAAGAAACATTTTTTATAAAGGTAAAATGGATTGAGATTCTTGTTTCACAAGGACTTTTAGTGAACTTTTAAATTAATTAAAGTATTTTTCAAATAAATATAGTTTAAAAACGGACCTAATTTTATATCCAGATCTCACATATCATTTTTCCACCTGATCTGATCTCGACACCGAATTTCGTTAGCATCCGTAAAAGGTCAGTGCAGCATTTTCATGTAATTGTCGGAAGGTCAGAAATGCAGCTCCGTTGGCAACTAGTTTGAACTTGAAATCCGAGCCGAGACGTTGAACTGTTCCACTGGAGGAGCTCGAGATCGGCCCCCAATAGGTTGATTATTTCGGATTTTGGGGGTGCTGCTCAGGCAAATTTGCGCAACCGAAGTTTGTCGAATATTTGGCGAAAACAAGCATTCGAAAAGAAGGTAAAGGTTAATGTGAAGTACTTTAGTTTTTTCTGCAAAACCATTTACCACAAATTAAGTCAAAGTCAAATGTGGGTGGATAATATAAGGCAAAAAGAAGGCCAGATAAGGGGAGAAAGTAGAGTTTTATAAAAATAAATTTTAAAACATTTTTCTAAGATGATCTGTGTTTAAATATCATAAATTATATAAGGACAAAGTGAAATATGGGTTGATGTATTAATAAACAACACTAATTGATCGAGGTCCTTTGAATGGTTAATTAATTTTAATGAATGAAACCAACTTGGTCATAGAGACAAACCAGTTTTACTGAAATGTGTGTATAATCCTTATAGTATAGGGTACTGAGAATCAAGAAATTCCCCATTCCACTTCAGTTTGACACCCCAACATTTTGGAATCACTGAACAAAATAAGCCCCAGTTAGAAGTTTGTGAGGACCTGTAGAAGCTGTAACTGCGATGCTCTGGCAAAAGTACTACGATCACATGAACGCCCTCAAGGCTGCGAAGATGCAGAGCATCGAAACTGCAGGCAACGTGGTCTGTAACATTACTGCTACCAAGCGCATTCAAAGGCTACGCGTAAGCATGGTAAGTGCGATTCCGATTCCAATTCCAATTCCCGATCCAAATACGTGCCCTGCATTGACAAAAGTCCAAAACATGGTGTGGTAACCACAAATGGCGTTTATTATGTTTGTGGGTGGGAGTCAAAAACCAGTAAAAGAGTAGACAATATATATAACATGCGGTGCATGTGGCCAGCCACAAGACTATCTGTGGCCAGGCGGGTACAAGCTAAAGCTACGCGATAAACACAGTTCATTAGATAGCTAACATCTAGGGGACATCTACAGCAGTTTCTCAATGTCCTTGGCTATGTCCATGGGATCGGTGGTAGGGGCATATCGGTTGATGGGGATGCCCTCCTTGTTCACCAGGAACTTGGTGAAGTTCCACTTGAGTCCGCTGCCCAGGGTTCCGGTCTGCTTGGCCTTCAGGTACTTGTACAAGGGCGCAGCGTTATCGCCATTCACATCGACCTGAAAGGAAATCGTGTTATAAAGTTGGTCTACTGCATTGGTAATTCGTATTCCGTACCTTGGCGAACACCTCTCCGATATCAGCCTTGGAGTCGCGCAGATGGCACACCATGGCCTCACCATCGGCCTCCGGCATCTGGGATCCAAACTGGTTGCACGGGAAGTTGAGGATCACCAGACCCTTCTCGCCGTACTTCTCCTTCAGATCCGTCAACTTCTCGTAGTTGTTCTTGGTCAGGCCGCACTTGGAGGCGATGTTGACCACCAGGACCACCTTGCCCTTGTACTTTTCCAGGGAAATATCATTTCCATGGGTGTCCTTCACGGTGAACTCGTAAATCGAGGCGGCGTTCTTGTAATCTCCGTTAGCAGACATGTCGATCTGGAAGAAATGGAAAATGGGGATTAGTCGAGTCAGGGTGAATCATTTAAGGGTGCGAAAGGAATGGGTCGATTTTTTTTATAAAGAAATTTCAAGACAGCAGCCTATTTTGCACTACCAAGTCAATTTTCATCAAGTGGCTGATAGAGATCGAAATAACCACCTTCATTTTTATAAAAAAAATAAGGTAGCAGATGTTTGTGGAATAGATAAGATAATATTGACAAACAATTCAAAATATATCTATCTATACTTCGAATGTCTGTTGTTATTGGAAAAGTAAAAGCAACCAAATCGATTTCAGCTATCAACAGATTACTTTTCTCTATATCTATGTTTACATTCTGCATCAAAATCGACCCATCCCCGATGATTATAGAACAGAACAGAAAACAAAGAACAGAGAACACAGGCAGAGGCAATAGGCAAAGGCAACAACGTTTAGTTTGGCATAGAGACAAGCAACTCAGTTAGTCAACGGATTTGGAACTAATCAACTATCAGTTCAGCACTACTCACGGCAGCTGCTGTGGAGTACTGGGCGACTGCGGAGGCGGAAGTGGCGGATGTGGCCGCACAGCTCACGGGAAGCAGGACGGTGCAGAGGCGGAGGCCCTGCCTTTGACCCTGACTCAACTCGAGGGCGGGGCCAAGGGTGCGCCTGATTGAATAGCACCTGAGGGCCTGGCGGGAAATGTTCTGAAACTGCCTGAGACTCATACTTCAAACGCTGCAAATAACCAGGCAGATTTTGCAATTTAAGAACAGGCGATATTTTATAGTGTACTAGTCAATGGATAGAAAAGTGTAGGACTACTGGACTACAGAGTTATAATTTCGAAAAATTAAAGCAGGTTGTCAGAAAAATGTCATGACATTCAAAAAAAAACTATTCTACAAATTGTAATTACTGCTAATATATGCTTAAAAAATATATTTGTTTAAATGTTAGTATAGAATAGGATGCTAAAGTGCTTTGTTATTAAGTTAATAATATATTTAAGGTAGTGAACTTGGGATATACATCATCATCTTCATTTTATCCTCTCATACTTTAAGTAAGAACTAATTCAGAAGGGTTAATACATTAAATTTTAAAGATTATTATTTGTTACGAGGTATTAGTTTGAAAATTGAAGTATGCCCTTAGCTTAATCCTACAAATAATACTCCCAATCTAATTTCGAATAGTTTTTTTTATCAGCTATCTATTGAAACCACAGTGTAATCAGAACTTTAGATTGTGTAGCCTTGTTTAGTAATTATGACTGAGGACTTCTGAATAGTTTGACAATGATTTGATAAGTCTGACTGAATGTTTGGTATTTATGGGTTGTAATCAGCACCCATTCCTAAACCATATCCCCATACCCTCGCCCTTGACCGCTGGTCACAGTGACGCTGCATAATTCATGGTGGTCGAAGTCGAAGACTAGACCTATCTGCACACATTCCCCATGAGTCACGCCGATGTAATAGCCCTTGGTCAGGGTTGGGTCACGCAATGTGAACTTTACGCTGGTCAGGATTGGCCCACGTCACCGGGTTACACTACTTGTTACTGCCGCGCATTTCGCATGCAAGCCATTATTCGATTCACGTTGATGTGACAGCAATTTGGAAGGAGGGAATTATAGTTCTGGGTAATTACTTGCATGGTAAAGTAGATGTACGAGCCCAGAGCGATTGCCACGGACCCGAACAGAAAGTGCGCGACGGAGCGGCCGGCCATTGTTCGAATGTATGGTATATGCTTTGACTATATCTTCGATTTCACCACGATGTGCTCTGAGTTTGGGATGCAGGGATACAAATATAGAATGACTGATTTTGCAAGCTCACGCTGATATGTACGAAAATCGGGTGCAAAGTACAGATTTCGATTCGATTGTTTTCCCTTTCTGTATTCTTGTCTGGTTTTTCGCCTGATATGATATGGCTTAGTCTCGGCAAAACACTTATTGTTTGGGCTTACTTATGTCGTAATATCGTAATATCAATGACTAATAGCACTTGGCACTTTCTTTCGAAGCGTAAATAAAACTATAGCCGGCGACTTGCGAAAACCCTGTTATATATGTGTAGGTGCTTTTCTTCGATGTAATATTATGAGATCGTCGTTATCTGGGCACACTGTGAAAAGCTGATTTCAGGGTTGTCAGCTATGGCATGGAAAAAGCTTAGACTGCTATTTTTATATGGTAAACTAACCCTCTATAAATAATCGATTTAATTAATAATTAAGAGTAATGTCATTAAGGAATAATATAATTTATTATCTAACTCTTAGAATAAAAAATGAAATATTTAAATTATGAATAAGTCACTTATAAAACTGATCGAAGCCACAAGCTGCTTGACAAGTATTACATTTTTAATTTATAAATTCAAAATAGTGCTTTTGGCGGGTTAAATTCAAAATAGTGGTTAGCCCAGCCGGCGTTGCCACAGCCGTTCGCCCGGCCTAGCCAAACAGCCCCTATTTAGTATTTTCCACCCACACCGCAAACGGTCGCACGAATTTTCTTCTTTTTCCATTGTGCGTTTTTGTTATTGGCGAGAAACAAATTGTAGACGAAATTTCCAAGTGAAATGCTGTGCGAATTGCTTAGTATGTCCGCGTGCTAGAGAGGCTAAGAAAGGGAAAGCGAGCGAGCAGGAGCAGCCACGCCCACACAAGGCGCACCGCCCCCCGCCGCAGGATACACATACAAGCGTAGCCAAACGCGCACACACACTCTCGCACACACACACACAAAGGAGATCCCCCGGTGGTGAAAAGGGAGCTCCAGAAATGATGCTCTCATCCATAAACAACTCCTTCGAGCAGGACACCCACGACGCGGACGCTAACTGCGATGGCCCCGACCTGGACTTTGTGTACTCCGATGTGGATGGCTACCAGAACGAGATCGCCGAACTCTACAGCTACACGGAGTTCAGTGAATTCCAGATGAATGTCAAAGCCTTCGAGGATCAAATGGAGCTGTATGACCTGCCGCCCAACTGGCAGAAACAGGACTCAGCCGCACAGCGAGGAATTGTTATGAAGCTGGTGGACCAACTAGAGGTCTCGGATCGATCCTTTCGCATGCAGGCCGCCCGGTGCATCCTGTACTTGGCCCAAGGCTGCTGGGCGGAGGTTCAATCGGACGAGGAGCAGCACCAGATCACCAGGGACAATGTCCTAGTGCTTCACCAGCTCGGCGTCTTTGCCTCCTTCATCGACCTGCTCAACATGGAGATCGAGAGCGCCTGCTCGCCCGACATTGTGGCCGTCAAGATTACGAATGTCACACTGGTGGACTCCACGGACATCCGGGTGATCCTCTCCGTGCTCTACATCATCACAGAGACAATTCGGGACGAGCGGGAACGGGGCAGCGAGGACTACAAGGAGCTGGCCGACTCGTTCGTGCAGGAGATCAACTCACCACTGCCAGATGGCGAACTGCTGGCCGTCAAGCTGCTGGGCATGATCACCAGGTTTTGCAGTGGCGCAGCCCCACAGTTTCCCATGAAAAAGGTCGTCCTGCTGCTTTGGAAGGTCTCACTGCTGGGACTGGGAGGCATGGATGTGCTCAAGAATCTCAAGAACGAGTACCGGCTGAAGGTGGGCCTGGAACCCATCACCGAGGACACGCTGGAGGTTACCAAGTATATGCGGGCCAGCTCGCCGCCGGCCACAGCCACAGATATACTGGAGAACCAGTATCCCAGAAAGAACTTCAAGTGAGAGGAGTAGAAATTCCACACAATAAACACCTTTTAACCCTTTTTCTCTTTTCCCCCACAGACGCTCCCTGATGAAGCAGCGCTTCCTGGACGAGCCCGAGCAGATAGACATGGAGATGGGCGGCAATGAGGGCCAGGGGAATGCCAACAATGGCAGTGGTAATGGCGGCAATGGAGAAGAGGAGCTTTCTCAGTACTACAGACCCTACGATGACCCCTCCTCATCAGCCTCCACCACCTCGACGGCCAATCCCAACAACCAGCCCAGCCTGACACAGCCGCCCGCCGCTGTGCCTCCAGTGCAGATCACTGCTCGCCTGCCTTGGACGCCCAAGGTACGGCAGAAGGATATAGACCAGTTCCTGGACATTTCGCGAAACAAATTCATTGGGTACTCCCTGATCGGGGACCATGAGAGTCTGGCTGGACTGCCGCAACCCATTCACGAGGGCTTCAAGACGCTGCAGCGGCACATGTACATGAGTCTGGCCGATGTGCAGATCAAGAAGGAAGAGGATATAGCCAGAAACCCCATCTCCACGCACGAGGACGAGATCAAGCTGACGCCGGCAGAGGTTTTGTACCAGGCCATTCTGCCCAACCTGCCGCAGTACATGATCGCCCTGCTTAAGGTCCTCCTAGCGGCATCGCCCACTTCCAAGTCCAAGACGGAGAGCATCAACATAATGGCCGACGTGCTGCCCAAGAAGATGCCGCTGACGGCCACTCAATCCACAAAGCTAACAGTTGATATGGGTCGACACAAGGAGATCATTGTGAAGGCTGTCTCGGCGATCATTCTGCTGTATCTGAAGCATTTCAAGATTAACCATGTTTACCAGTTCGAGTTCATGTCCCAGCATCTGGTTTTTGCAAACTGCATCCCGCTGGTGTTGAAGTTCTTCAACCAGACAATCACGGAGTACGTGAACACCAAGAACTCCATTCCCCTGCTGGATTTCCCGTCGTGTGTGATTGGCGAGCAGCCGGATTTGAGTGGAGATAGCTTTGTCTACGGCGGAGAGATGTCCGACAAGCCCTACTCCTGGCGAAACGTGTTTTCCTGCATTAATCTTCTGCGCATCCTCAACAAGCTGATCAAGTGGAAGCACTCGCGAGTGATGATGCTGGTGGTGTTCAAGTCGGCACCGATCCTCAAGAAGACGCTGAAGGTGCGCCATGCCATGATGCAGCTGTACGTGCTAAAGCTGCTCAAGATGCAGACCAAGTACTTGGGCCGCCAGTGGCGCAAGTCCAATATGAAGACCATGAGTGCAATTTACGCCAAGGTCCGGCATCGTCTGAACGACGACTGGGCCTTTGGCAATGATCTGGAGTCGCGTCCCTGGGACTTCCAGGCGGAGGAGTGCACGCTGCGGGCCTGCGTGGATCGATTCAACCTGCGACGCTATCCGGAGGCCACCCAGAAGTGTGGAAACAATGGGACGGCGGCTCAGAATGCGGAGAACGCCCAGCAGTCCAACATGATGTCGGGGAACAATGGATGTGGCAATAACGGCGAGGCCAATGGATATGGAAACAACGGAGGCGGAGGAAATGGCGGCCACAATCAGCAGCAGCAGCAGCTCAACGACTACGGTGTGGAGGGCGGCTTCCCCAGCGACGAGATACTCACTCACTCCGACTTTGCCTTCTTTGGCCACTCGGGCTGGTGGGATCGTAAGGTCGAGCTGACGGACTACTTTAAGGCCAACTACGCGGTCTGGTTGGAAGAGGAGGTCTACAACAGTCAGACCGACTGGGATGCCCTCTAGGACAGACCAGCCATGGGTGAGTAACTGCATCCGTTTGTCCACTATTTTATTTACAATATACCTCTTCAATTTACAGCTGCTCTGCTGGCATAACTAGCCTCCCGAGGATCCACATACGCATGATATAAGCAAAAAGTTATTACCTTAATTGTAAGCATAAAGAAGTACATTGATATAATCCATGTAGCCCGACCACGATTGGAACACCAACTACTCACTGAATTGGCAATAAATTGGCAAGCCACGGACCTCCGCTCCGATCCTCTTCACTAACTAGCATACGCTAAATACCCCATAGCGATGACAAGCCTGTATATTTAACGAATGTATTTTATAATTTATATATTTATTATTTAATCCTGTTCCACGAGCCCCTTCAAACGGATCGCGGCAGTTGGCTTCAATAGCGGAATAAACAAATTAACTAGTTCGAAAACGAAAATTGGTTTGCGGTTAAATGTCTGTTTATTCGTATGTGTGTTTTGTTTCGCACAAGAAAAAATATACTTCTATTAGGTCATAGTCTTAAAGCTAGGTTTAAATTTGGTAAATATACACTACGGTATTTACAAGGTGCATATATAAATATCCATTATATAGTACAATAACTTTTCGACTCCATAAAAACGCCCCACACAAATTGCCTCGTTGGGGTTTTGCAAAATTCCATGACGTAATAGTAAACAATACAAGTATAATAGTTAGCACAGCTAAATATGAATTCCTGAACCGAGTTTCTTCATTTCACAATCTGGTTACAAGAGCGTTCTCCACAAGAGAGACCATGTCACCCATAAAAACTATCTTAATACGAAATAAAGACTAACTAATGAAAGTTGTATTCTAGGGCGGGTCGATTTGTTCGAAAGAAGCTAGAAACTGGGCATTCTAAACGGTAGTCCGGGCGAAAATATATTTCCTAAACAATACTGCAATTTCTTTGGACTTTGCGGGGGTTAAAAATTGATGTTGGTTCTAATATTCACGATCTAAAATAGTTACAAGGATTTAATTCCGGTGATTTGTCAATCAAAAATCGAACCACCCTTAGATTTGCTTACAAATATGCCTTAATATGTTCAATGGGGATTTTAGCCACGATTCGGGGAAGTAATTCAAATAATTTTGAACCGTTTTAACATCCTACTAATAATCTATACAATATTCCTTTATTGTACACTGAATCCTAGGACAATCTATTGTTCCATGGGACAGGCCGTGGGCATTACGTTGTTATTGCTCGGACCAACGTACAGCATCCCAAATCGCTTCTGCTGCGGCGGACAGGCGACTGGAGCAGGAGCTGGTACCTCGCAGCGCTCCTCGAAGTAGTGGACGATGCGCTGGAGGACAAACTTAAAGATCTTCTCCTTGGCTATCTCACCGTTGAGGAATGTGATGTCTTTACAGTCGCGATACTCGCTGAAGTTCTTCTCGTAGTGCGGCCACACACAGAGCTCAAAGTATCCCGTGACATCTGGGGGATCGTAGGTACGTTTGCTGCGCCGCTCGAAGCACTTCTCGTAGGGCAGATGAAAGTGGTACTTGAGGTTGCACAACGCCAGCAGCTCCGGCTGGTTGA